TCTGACGATCGCCTGGGCAGATCCAGCTACGCTACGGGTACGTGCGTCATTTAGTTGATATCGTAAACGAGCTACGTCAGTACGGGTCAGTCTCAGTCGGCATCGATCATGTTGTGATCGTGCACGTGACAGCATGCAGTACGCATCGTCGACTGCCCTGCAATTCATGCTGCATGTCTAGTCAGTCTGACGGCTACGTAGCTTGCTCCAATGCTCAGTCTCTGCCCACTTCACCTTTTCCGTGTCATCATCTCAGTATGGCTGCACACACTCGCCCCCCCCAGCATGTCGCTAACATTCTAGCCTCCTAGCTCATGCGCTGTGTTAGTCTTTCTACGTTCCTCATCTTGTGATGACAGATTATTTTACATCGGAGAGCCCTCCTTCACATGGACTCTTCTGTCGCGAGTTAGTAGAGGGTAGCAACTCCTACGCCGGACCCCCCGCAACGGGCATGCATGTCAGACTCCGCCTACTTATACAAATGACAACCACAGTCGCAGAGAGTATGTGCTCAGGCATTTTTTCTGTTAAATCGTCTAGTTTCTTCTCTCTCCCCTTCCTTTTTTGTACTTATTAGCTTCTTCGGCAGTGATGACTGGAGTTGTTCATGGGTAGTTGGTTCGTGATTCAGGGGGTGGTGCTCCTTTGGTTTCGCACACACGGTCACATACACACACACACACACACACACACACACACACACACACACACACACACACACACACACACACACACACACACACGACGCCGATAACCACCACCACCACCACCTCACCTTCCCTCCTCCCTCTTGTTGCATGGTGAGCAGGGTACCGCCTGAAGGCGTTTATCAGCCACGACATAACGGAGGCGCTTTTCTTCGCTGCAAACTGCAATCGAGCATGGATAATGGCGATTGTTGGGTATCTTTCACACACTTTCAGCACCTGCGACGTCGGAGATCTCCCGATTTGATTGGAGGAAGGATCAAGCGAGTGGAGCACACAGCCCAGCCACGGTGCGTTGGTGCGTTGGTGGTGCTGTGCTTGACGTGCGCGACTTGCGTGTGGCAGTGGGTGCTGACGTGCCTTGATGGTTTGCGCCAACCCAGCCAGCCCCCTACGCAACGTCACCGAACAACCACGGGATGTGTGACACGGACAGAAAGGCTCTTCATTTCAAACGCCCGAGCCATCCCCGACGTTGCCTCACCCACACAAACACACACACACACACACATCTGGCTTGGATTCGGTTGGCAGAACTACTGTTGCGCCCTGAGCCGCAAGTGTTCTTCTGCTTTCTTCTATGCTCTATTGCCGGCGACGTCGCAGCCTTGTTGTTGTTGTTGCACTTGTTGCTGTTGCTGTGGCCGTGCTGTCATTTCTCCTGGTTGCTGTCCTCTTCTCTCAGTCCCCTGCTTGGTACCACACTACCCCTCCTGAATCGCCGCATCGTCTCGGTCTCTCCTCATCCCTTCCCACACCTTCTGCCACAATGACCGTCAACGGCACGGTGAGTGTCTGTCTGTGTGCCTGTTTGCGTGCGAGCACCTGTCTATGTGTGTGTGTGTGTGTGTGTGTGTGTCTGTCTGTGTGTGTGAGCACCTGTCTATGTGTGTGTGTGTGTGTGTGCTTCAGCACGTGTGTGGATGCATCCATCTGTGCTTGTGTCTCTGCATCAGTACGCGCTTGATTCCATGCCTCGCTGTGATCCTTGGCTGTGTGCTGCTTGATAACGTGACATTGTGTTGCGCGTGTGTGCTGTGCTTGCAGGAGATGATGATGATGCCAATGTATTTCATGCTTGGCCACAAGACCACCATCTTGTTCAAAGACTGGGAAACAAAGACCATGGGCCGTAAGTCATGGTGTGCATGTGTCTGCGTGCGTCTGCGTGCGTGTGTATGTATGTCTATCTGTCTGTGTGTGTATGTATGTGTGTGTGTTCTGCTTTCTTGTGTGTCTGTCTGTTCGCCATGGTGTATGCAGTGTGCCTTGCCCTGTATCCCTCCTCCCTCTCCAAAGGCTTCACTGGCCACCTCACCCCCAGTGTGCGTTCCCTTGCTTCCCTTGTGCAGAGTACGTTGGCTCGTGCGTTGGGGTGCTCATCCTCGCTATCATCTATGAGTGGGGCAAGATCCTCCGTGCTGATCTTGACATGTGGATCTCCCGTCGCATCGCACCAAAGCCCTGCTGCATGAGCCTCATCAACAGCAGTACCCACCAGCCCAACAGCCACCACTCCCCTCCCGCCGCTCCAGAGTACGTTGCGTGTGTGTGTGTGTGTGTGTGTGTGTGTGTGTGTGTGTGTGTGTGTGTGTGTGTGTGTGTGTGTGTGTGTGTGTGGCTCTCTGTCTGTCTGTCTGTCTGTCTGTCTGTCTGTGTCTGTCTGTCTGCCTGTCTGTCTGCCTGTCTGTCTTCTTGCCTGTCTATCTGTCTGTCTTGAGTTTGTCAATCTCTTGACCAACCGCTCTCCTTATCTACCTGTGGCCCCATCTGCCTGCCTGTTCGTCTGCCTCCACCTCCTACACCTCCTACACCTCCGCCTCCGCTGTCCCATTCCCCACATCCTGCTCACGATGCACCTCGCTCCTCCACCCCCCCCCCTCCCGTCCAACCCCCGGCTCTGTCCGCAACCTGCAGCTGCGTGCCGTGGCACTACCAACTGCTGCGAACCGTGTGCCACATTGTCCACTTTACGCTCGCCTACTTCCTGATGCTGATTGCCATGACCTACTCCGTGGGGCTCTTCGTGTCCATGGTACTGGGTAGCGGCGTCGGTTACTTCCTCTTCATGCGCAGAAACATCTGCAAGGCGCAAGACAATGTCGAGACTGTCAGCTCGTGCCACTGATCCCCGCCCCCCCCCCCTGCGTCTCGTGGGTGGTTGGTGGTGCGTGCAGTGTGGCGGGGATTGAGGTCATGTGTCTCAACCAACAACAACTCTCCATTTCATTGCCTCGCTCATCTGTTTTGTTTGTGTTAGCTGGCTGTTTGACCGCCTTTAGTTCACCTACCTACCCTCGTCAAAGGGATTTGTGTGTGTGTGTGTCTGTATATGTCTGTGTGTGTGTGTGTGTGTCTGTGTGTGTGTGTGTGTGTGTCTGTGTCTGTGTATGTGTCTGTGGTTGTGTCTCGCTCTGTCTGTCTTTCTGTGTCACCTCAGTTTTGTTCTGGATTTCATTAATTGACATGAAGTTGATAACCTTACTGCTTCCACCAATTCCCCTTGCTCCCTTCATTTCCTTCTCATTAGTTGCTGCTTGCACGGGCTGTTGGCAGCGATTACAGTCTGCTTTGTGTGCTTGGTCGGTGTTGTCGTTTAATTGCTGCGTGTTGGTTACGTGGTCTCGTCGCTTCCACGAATACACAAGCACGCTGGATGGGCGGGTATTGTTTTGAGACTGAAGAGCTTGAGCGCACTTGTGCTGCACATGCAGCACGCACACCGGAGCTCACACACAGAGCGCATGCAATGCTGAGGCGAGTTACTTGGTCTCCTTGAAGCTTGTCTCCTGCCAGGGGAAGAAGAGTGACGCGTGTCACGTGAAGAAGAAGTGTGTGTGTGTGTGTGTGTGTGTGTGTGTGTGTGTGCGTGTGTGTGTGTGAACGAGAGTGTGTGCGAGGAGAGAGAGAGTGTGTGTGTGTGTGTGTGTGCGTGTACGTGTGACAAAGGCAAGTGTGAATCGTAAGCAACCCACACAGACTGATCTGCACGGCAATTCTCATATATGCAAGTCCATCTGTACACATCCGCCAATACAAACACACATACATACAAGCACACGCACACGCACTCGCATACACACACACGCACCTTGCCGGTCTTCTTGATTTGCTCAAGGACGGCATCTGAGGAAAGGGAGGTGACAACGGTGACCGTCTGTCCAGCCATGTCGATGGAGATGTCCTCAACCTCTGTTGACGATGCCCATTGCATCACACACACGACACCGGTTAGTTCGTTGGTGAGCGATGAGCACCCCTCTGCTCTCTGATGCACACACGCACACACGCACACACGCACACACGCACACACGCACACACGCACACACGCACACACGCAGCGCACATACCTGGAAGCTTCTTCAGCACCCTCTGCACGGCGCCGGAGCAGCCATCGCAGGCCATGGCAACGTTGAACACATGGGTCGGCATGATGGATTGATCAGTCGTCGTCCACTGGAGTTCTTGCGTTGTCGACTTGATGCTTTGCTTTGCTTGCTTGCTTGTTGGTTGGTTGGAGATGTTTGTTGTTTTTTCGTGGTTGTGGAGCATTGGCGAAAGACAGCCACCAATTGTCGGCTAACACACTGCCCACAAAAAGGCAGCAAGCAAGAAGCAAGGCAGATGATGTGGATGGATGAAGGTTTGGAAGGGCGCTGACACAGTGTTTGTGCGGGAACACTTGCGACCACCAACTCTCCCCTCCCTCGCCACTGCTTCGCTTCTTGGGTTTGCTGTCTGTTCAGGAGGATCATATTGAGGGTCAGCACAACTACCGAAAGAAAAGAAAAGGAAAAAGACAAGTACAATGGTCTGCAGGGATGACAAAAGCTTTGGCGATTATGGCGAGCGAGACAAAACAAGACACCGACGACCACAAACACCAACCACCAAAGCACACCAAACGTAGACAACACGAAAGAAACACCACACGAAATGGCAACATGCCGTCAAAGAAGGAATATCAATCACAGCCATACCAACAGCAACAAAAGAGCAGGAGCAGGAGAAGCAACATAACATAAACATAAGAATGCGCACGTCAAGAAATCAAGAAAAAGGGGAGGGGGGAGCTGCACAACAATGTGTACATCGGTACATGAACGCGAGCAACCGTACGTTGAACGGCTGTCTCGCGGGTCAACAGCAACGCCAAGAAGCAACACAAAGAGCAACAACGTGAGGACTGGCGGGTGGAAAAAATTCCACACAGCCCATACATACGCACGAAAGAAGCCGTGATGCTGTGGGGTGAAAGAAGAGAGTGAAAACAAGGTCAACAAAAGAAAAGAAGCCTGCATGCATGGGTACAGCAAAATTAACATACGTCCACACAGTCGTGCATTACATGCAAATCATCGATACGCACACACATCTACACACACGCACATCTACACACACAGGCGCGCACATTTACAATCTGCACGCGTGCACAATGCACACATCCACACAACTCCACACGCATCTACGCACGCATCCAGGCACGCGCGAAGGAGGCGATTAGTTGGGAGGAGGAGGAGGAGGAGCAGTGGTTGTGGGAACCGCGCCGCTGCCGTTGGCGGGAGCAACAGTCGGCACTGGCCGCGGCACACCAAGACCCGCACCAAGCCCGCCCTGCTGCTGTTGTTGCTGCTGCTGATGTTGCAAGAGAGCTTGTAACTGTTGTGGGTTCAAGGGAGCGCCAAAAGCACCGCCAGCCACCGCCGCAGCGTCAGCCGCAGTCGTCGTCGTGCCGGGCACATGCAGCCACTGCTGCTGCTGCTGCTGTTGGTGGTGGTGCTGTGGCTGTTGGGGTGGTGGTGGTACCACGTTGGCTGTGGTTATGGGGAGCGGGGCCTGGCCAGGGAGGCTGGAGGCCGCGGTGCTGAACATGAATGGCATGCGTGGATAGCCAAGCATCTGCGGAAACTGCTGCATACCGTATCCCGGCACCTGGGCCATGGGGCCTGCGCCAAGCATGTTCGGGAAGAACGGCGTCAGCCCACCAGGGGGCACTTGCCCATACTGCCCTTGCTGCTGCTGCGGCTGCAACTGCTGCTGTGGCATTGCACTCATCATCTGCATCATCTGCATGTACATGTTATGCGGCTGGGGCATGCCTTCTAGCTGCTGCTGGTGTTGTTGCTGTTGCTGTTGTTGTTGCTGCTGCTGTTGTTGTTGTTGCTGGTGCTGCTGGTGTTGCTGCGGCACACCACCAAACCCATGCATCATCATGCCGTGCATGTGCGGGTGCATGACCTGGGCCTGGCTCAGCCCCGCCTGCATGGGGATGGACGTCGCGTGTGGGTCAAAGCCGGTGTGCTGCGGCTGCTGCTGCTGCTGCAGGTGCTGCCCATGCTTGGGCAGCTGGGCCGCTGTGGCCTTGGCGGTACGGTCCATACAGTGCTTCTCCATGTGCATGGTGAGCGACGACTTTTGGGTGAACCGTGTCCCGCACACCTCGCACTTATACGGGCGCTCCTTCGTGTGCACCCGGCTGTGTCGGACAAGCTGTACCAGAGTCAAACGGACATGCAAAAGTATGTGAGTGTGAGTATGAGTGTGTGTGTGTGTGTGTGTGTGTGTGTGTGTGCGACTGTAGCCATGAACATGTCAGCAAGGGCACCATGTACACTTCCCTCACATCATCCCACAGCACAATGCAACCTCCAGGCTGCAATATCATGTGCACACACACGCATGCACGCACACAGACGGACAAACGCACCTTGCTCTGGCTTGGGAATTCCTTCTTGCAATGCAGACAGCGGTGTGTTTTCTACACAGTGGGGCACCAACACGGATGAGAAAAAGGCGAGCAAGCGGTGATTCGGCGGAAAAGCAGGACATTGACCTTCACCACACACACACACACACACACACACACACACACACACACACACACACATCACACATTACGCACAATCACACACGCACGAAAACGTGTGTACTCACGAGGGCGCGTTCGTCGGAGTAGACGATGGTGTGGCCGACGAGGATGGTCATGCCAGACTCCACGCTCTGCACTGTCACGGGGATCTTCTTCACCATCACCATCCCGCGCTGCATCTCTTGCTCTTCCTCTTCCTCTTCCTCCTCGGCAACAGCACCTGCAGCTTGCGCGTACATTTGCTTCTGCTGCGTCTGCTGCTGCTGCTGGTGTTGTGCTGGTTGGAGGGCCGCGTGCGCCACGTGCGCGGTTGAGACGGTGCCGGGTTGCAGCCCCTGCTGCGGCTGTGGCAGCAAGTCTGCAGACGAGCTCCGCCCTTGCTTGGACAGGAACGCGTGCTGCAGCTTACTGCTGGGCGCGTGCGGGTCCACAAACTCTGCCTTTGCCTTCTTGGGGGTGTGGCCACCATCATCAGCGCGGCGCTTCAGCGTGTCTGTCTTCATCTTTGGGGCCTGGCCCGGCTGGCTGACATGCTCGGGCTCCACGCTGGCTTCGGTCTTGACAGCAACTTGTTTCAGCACGCGCGCGGTGTCCCGTTGTGTGTGCGCCTGTGCGCGTGTGCCACGGGTGTGCCTGTGACCGCGGTTGCGACCGGCACTGCTTGAGCCAGACGAGGAGGAGGAGGAGGAGGAGGAGTCACTGTCATCGTCGTCGTCTTCATCGTCTTGGTCGTCAACACGGCGGTGAACTGCTGTTGCTGCTGTCGTCGCTGCTGTCGGTGGTGCTGTTGCGGCAGCTTGTGTGACGCTTGCTGCGGGCGCCTCTGCCTCTGGAGCAGGCACCATCTCGTCACGGCTGGCCGTACCCCCGCTGACGCTGACGCTGGCAAAGCTGGCCCGGCGGTCCGCTGCCAGGGTGCCGAGTCGCTCGCGCAGGAGTGCCCTCTGCTCCTCCTCGCTCATGTCCTCCGTGGGCTCGTAGTCTGCATCGCCCTCCTCCGCTTCATGCTGCTCATGCTGCTGCTCCTGCTGCGGTGCGTGAACGCCGATGGCGGGCGGCGCGGCGCTGTCCGTGGCATTACCACTGGTGCCGTTGGAAGCCTTGCTTGGGGACCGCACGGTCGCTGCTGTGGTGGTGACCCCAGCCTCCTTGCTGTTGCTGTCGTTGTCGGACTTGGCGGCTGCGGCTGCGCGCACCACGGCGGTGGTGCGAATGGCGGAAGTGATCGCACTGGCAGCAGCATCGTCGGCGACGTCACTGGTGCGGCCATGTGCGCCGAGGCGGTCACGGGCGCGGCTGTTGGGGCCGGGCTGGCCGTTGTGGCCCGGTGATGTGCAAGCGCTGATGTAGCCGCCACCGCCTCGAGACAAAGGGGTGTGGCGCCCTGTGTTCGCGTCCTGGGCGCCCAAACTGCCGATGGCGTGCGTGGTGGTGCTGGTTCCTGGGATGTCGTCGCAGCCATCGCAGGCCGGCTGTGCCTGTGTGCGACTGCGCATGGACACGCCGTGAAATGCCTTCAGGCCGGGCTGTGCACAGGAGGTGTGGCATTGAGCTGCGCGGATCGAGGCTGCAAGAGCCTGGCGTCGCGGGGCACTGGCAATGTCGCGCATGGCAGTGCTGACGGTGCTGACGGTGTTGTTGCCAGTGGTGTTGCTGCAGTCGTGACGAAGCAGGCGGAGCAGTGGTTTGGCGTGTCTTCGAGATCGTGGAGAACGCAGTGCCTGTGCTTGTGCCTGTGCTTGTGAATAGGGGAAATTGCTTGATGGCTCTTCTGAGGGGAGCTGGTCCATGCTACGCCAAAGGGAAAGCGGAGAGCCAAGGGGGGAGACATGCAAATGCACGGACAAAGAAGTGTGAGCCGAGGTTGTTGCAACCGTGTGATGTTGGGGGAAATGCAAAGTCGCGCGTTGATGGTGGTGGTGGTGGTGGTGGTGGTGGTGAGCAGGGGTGGAAAGATGAAGTTTGATGGGAGAAAGATGGAGAGGTCATGGGTGAAGGCGCCGCGTGCGCGCACGCATGCATGTATTGATGTAGGCAAGCAAGCACACAAGCACAAAGCCAGAGAGAGAGAGAACCAACAGCTGGATGGACACAAAGGTCGGACGGTCGGATGGAAGAAGTGAGGAAAGGGAGAAGTGTTGGGGGGGTGCGAACTGGTGTGCGCCAACCAAACGGAAACAGACGGTGCAAACAAGAAGGAGAGACGAAGAGGCGACACAAGAAGTGCACCCGGTCAATGATGGTGCACGCAGGACTTTAGCAACGATAGAGAAAGAGAACACAGCAACGATAGAGAAAGAGAGCACAGCAACGATGGAGCTGCCGCCCACCAACCACCCCGGGCAACAACATGCAGCGTGAGGGAAGGGAGGGAGGGAGGAGTGTGCTAGTGCTTGAATGAGGGAGGGGGAAACGGAAGAGGATGGAGAGGGGGGAAGGGAGGATAGGATGGTCAAACATGCTACTTGGAGCCTGGTGAACACCCTTTCCCTTCCACCAGCACCTGGTGGTGGGAAAGTGCGTGACTTTGTCGTGTGTGTGCGTGTGTGTGTGTGACGACATACACACACCCACGCAAAAGCAAGCAAATGCGCTCGCTCACCTTGGTCGATTACACCTCGCGTGCGCAACAAGGGGACAAGAAGGTGGTTTATGGGTGTGGTGTAAACGTCAGCTTGCTTGTTCTGGTCGCTCAGCCGCTGATGGTGGTGGCTGGGTGGTGCTGGTGGTGCCTGTATCCGTGTTGGTTCGGTTCGTTCGTTCCAAGCAAGGAAGGACGGCTAGAGGTGGGTTGCAATTGCGGAGCGGTGGTGGATGAATGAGCAACACCAAACCAACCAATTCGGCTGCCCGGAGCCTTCGGTTGGCCCAGCAGGAGACCACGCCTTGCGTCTTGGAGGACGTGTGTTTGCTGCCTTGTTGCTTGTTGTTGTTGGTTGAAGGTTGTCTAGGCTCGAGAGGTGTGTGTGAACGAGTTCCCAAAACGACGGCGTGCGACGCTGGTTGTTGTATTTCAGCCATGCGTCACCAAACCCAACCCCGCCTGCCCTCCGGGACACAACGATGCCTCGTAGGCCCTCTTGCTTTTGGTTGTATTGCGTACGGCCTTGAAAGTGGGACCTTGCACCCTTCAGACAGCCCAACAAGCATGACGTCAGCGCACCAAACATGTCAATCACGTTTTGTCCCGCGAGCCTCGAGTTCTCGCCATAACTTGGCATAAACGTCCAGATCAAACGTGCGTCCAGCGATATCCACCGTGCGCACCTGCGCCAGGTTCGCCATCAAGGAGAAGCGTATGAGGAGCACGTTGAGGGAGCGCAGTAGCGTTTGGGGGTAGGTTTCAAACATGGCTCGCGTCATACCTCAGGCGACATGTCCCGGTCGTCGGCAGAACCGTTTGTCCCACCACCTGCCATTTCCAAACCGATTAAAAATTAGAAAGCGACAATCGCCACCATAACCGTCAAAGGCATGTCCCACTGTGCGCGGCGTTGCCACTGCGTGTGGGAACGATGTTACACCACCACCACCACAGCCACCAAAAAGGCGCAAAGCCACTCACAGCCACAGCCAGTGAAGGGGCAACGAAAAAATCAAAACGAAGCAAAACAAACCCCAACCACACAACCACGCTGACAACCATCCCCCATGCACAACAACCGCAATCCCAAGCCAAAACGATGGTGGGAAGCCGGTTTACACAGGCATGCACGCTTGCCCTCGAGCAATGTCACGCCAAGGCCAAGCAAGGCCCCACGCCCCGCGCCCGTCATGAAACGTACACCAATGTGTGGGAACCAAGGCACACAGGCACGCAACGGGAAGTGGAGAAGGGAGGAAGGCGGAGGCCGAAAGGGGGGGGGGGGACAACAATGCAAGCACAAACACACACACAACATGCAAGGCATGAACAGCCAGGGCGTGCATGCCTTTCACATTTCACATGTAACTTCAGACACACACCGACGAACACAATTCCCATCAAGTCACTCACGTTTCTTTGGCTTGCTGGCTTGCTGCTGCTGCTTCTTCGTTACCGTCTGCTTCTTGCTGGGTGATGACGACGACGATGACGACGCCGCTGCTGTTGTTGTTGTCGTCTTCGTTGTTGGCGCTGTTGCTGGGACTGCGACTGGCTTGGCTTGGTCCTGTTGCTTGGCGAGTGGTTGCTTGGGTTGTTGCTGGTGCTGCTTCTGCGGCTGCTTGGGTTGCTGCTGGTGCTGCTGCGGCTGCTTGGGTTGCTGCTGCTGCTGCTGCTTCACTGCACTCGTTGCACTCGCTGCACTCACTGCACTCACTGCACTCACTGCACTCGCTACACCGCTTCCAGCAGTGGTCGTGGTCGCCTTGTTGGCCGGTGGGGGCTTGGCGGTGGCAGTGACGGTGACGGCCTCGTCGGCCTCCATCTCGGCGGCACCACCAGCGGCATCATCACCGCCAGCAGGGAGCGGTGGCAGGTCCCGCACCGCCGCAGCCTTGAACAGCGCCGCATCAGCATCCGGCACAGCCCGCCGCAGCCCGTGCGTCACGTTCACCAGCCACGTGAACGGCATGCGCGCGCCAGCCAGCCGCGTGCACAGCCCGCCAAGCAGCGTGCCGCCCATAAACTCCTCATCAAAGACAACCTCCACCTCCTCCGACTCTGGCAGCACCCGCACAACAAACCCCGCCGCCGCCCAGGGCACAGCAGCACAGTCGCGCACGCACACGACGCGGTCGCCAAGCTTGAACGAAGCCTGCTTGTCGGGCGGGATGGACGTGTTGCGCCCAGCGGTCGACGCAAGGAACAGCAGTGACGGCGACAGCCTGGCCACAACAGCAATGGAGGGGCGGAGGGGATTGACGGGTAGGGGAAGTTACATGTGTGTGTGTGTGTGTGTGTGTGTGTGTGTGTGTGTGTGTGTGTGTGTGTGTGTGTGTGTGTGTGTGTGTGTGTGTGCAATTGTGTGCAATTGTGATGGGATACGAGAGCAGGGAGCATGCATTCTGTTGCGCATGTGCAAGTGCGATTTCATGCACACCCGCACATTCGCTTGCACTCAAACGCCCTCAACTCCCACAAGCAACACCTTCCTCCCCCCCCCCTCACCCCGCACCGCCAAATCTCTCTCCCTCTCTCCATCCTCCAAACACAATACCCCCTCACCCCTGGATGGCGACGCGAGGCTTTGGGTGCTTGCTTGAGACGAAGACCTGCTGCAGGTTCTCAATGGCGTGCACAATGCGCTTCTGCAGCACCTCCGTCCCCGTCGGCACGAGGTCAAAGTCGCGCACCTTCACCGTGTCCCGCAGATACGCCTGCGCCGCCTCAAGGTCCGCGCTCGCATCAAACTGCGCCGCGTGTGTCGAGCAAGGGAGAGGCAGGCGGAAAGGGGGGGGGGAGGGAGGTGGTGATGAGCACAAGAGCGGCAATGGACATTGACAACCGCCCCAGATGCAAACAAACACACGCACAACAAGTGCGAGAAATGCACATGCAATCGCAAGCAAAAGACGCACATGCGACCGAGACACACACAAATGCACAAACAAGCAAACCAAGCGGCTTCGTACGCGGTAGAGGTCGGCGCCGTAGCAGCGGTCTGCGTACTGGTTGCGCTTGAGCGGGTCCAGGATGCGCGCAAAGCGTCGTTGAAAGTCGTCCACAATCGCAATCGCCCGCTGCGTCAGAAACCACTTCTGCACACGCCGAGATGCAGGGGCAAGCGGAAGCGGGGGTTAGAGGACGCCGCGAGGAGCAACGATGGGAGATGGCGCAGGGAGCCAGACATGCACGCATGTTCCGTGTCTGTGTGTGTGTATGTGTATGCATGTGTGTGTGTGTCTGTCTGTCTGTCTGTGTGTGTGTGTGTGTGTGCGTGCGTGCGTGCATGTGTGCGCATGTGTGTGCGTGTGTGTGCATGTGTGTGTGTGTGTGTGTATGAGCGGACCTCGTCGATGCGGCGGGTGAGGCCGACGGCTTCGAGCCCGCGGCCGCTGAACTTCATGTGGAACCCGAGATCATACTACATCGCACACACCACAAGGCGGCAGGGATGTTAACACCGATAAGAGGACAGCAGTGATGATTGTGACATGAACACGTCACGTAGTCCAGGCACACACACCCCGTTCACACGCATGCATGCATGCATGCACATGCAACAACCATGCCACCATGCACATGCAACAACCATGCCACCATGCACATGCAACCACAATGCCAGCCGCATGTGGGCAACACCTTTGTTCCCTGGTCGTCGGCCGAGCCCGAGAAGACGAAGAGGGAGGCGAGGAGCTTGTTGAGGAAGAACTCTGGCATGTGCAGCCGGCGGCCGGCCTCGGAGAGCGGCACAAGCTGCTGCGACGCACTGCAACATTGGCAGCAGTGGCAGTGGCGATGGTGATGGATGGTGATGGTGGAGAAAGGGAATGATGTGGTGGTGGAGAGAAGATTGAGTGTGAGTACGTAAGTGCGACAAAGATCGTGGCCAGGGTCAGAAAGAGCTATTGGGTCGCAAGAATACATACACAACACAACACAACACAACAAAACACAACACAACGCAACGCAACACAACACAACACAACACAACACAACACAACACAACACAACACAACACAACACAACACAACACAACACAACGCAACGCAACGCAACGCAACAAAACACAACACAACACAACACAACACAACAACACAACAACACATACACCGCACAAAAGACTGACGAGTTGAGCTGAAGGAGCCTGGCGATGTTGGGTGCCTCGGGAACAAGCAGCTCCACGTCAACGGTGTGGTGGTGCACGCGCACGACGTGTCCCGTCGCACCGTAGTGCAGGGGGCCGAGGTGGCACACGGGCGCATCCGCCCGAATCACCTCCCGCAGCGCCTTGACAGCCTCGTTGCGCGTGTCGCGGGAAATCTTTGGAGGTGTTGGAGTGATGGTGGTGGCGTGAGCAGGTGAGCAGTGGGGGAGGGGGTGACCAGAACAGGTGGGTGTTGGCGTCAACGATGGAAATAGTGTGAGCCACCATCACCGCCACCACCATCAGCACAATCAGCACAATCACCACGGTCATGAGTACCTGCAGGTCCGGGATGCAGAGCTGAAGCGGAAAATCCTGCTCTTGGTGCGACCACGACTGCAAGGCGACAAGTCAGGGTTGTGTGTGTGTGTGTGTGTGAGTGAGTGTGCATGTGTACATGTATGTGTGTGTGAGTGTGTGTGTGTGTGTGTGTGTGTGTGTGTGTGCGTGTGTACATGTGTGTATTGGACAACAAAACCACGAGACACACAACGGATGATAAAGCCGACGTCACTACGGTGCGCAGACAACACAAACGCGCGATGTTTCCAACCTTGCGCTGGTAAACGCGTCCGTCCTTCTGGAAGTCGTTCACAAACCCTTCACAGAGGTTCACAGTCACAATCACTTGCACAGGCCCAATGTCCATGCCGCTATGGTGTGGTGACGGCGTGCACACACAGTGATGATCGGCAAGTCCCGAATTAATGAAATGACACAAGCACACAGACACACCCCTATGCAGGCACACCAGCGCACTTCCACAGCAGCTCACACATGATGCAGCAACAGCCCCACACATACGCCACGCTCACACGCACGCCCACTTGCATATCGCAGCACAATTCGCACCGCTTTGTCTTTGCGTCCTCCTGGAGGCGCTTTGCGGTGTGGAAGAACTTGGCGCGGTCGCGGTGTTCGAGTGCGGTGCTCACCACACGCCGCCCGCGCACCTCATATTTCTCGTGGCTGTCCCACACTGCCGTCACCTGGCCCATGCAGCCAAGCAAGCAGGAGGTGAGTGTGTGTCTGTGTGTGTGTGTGTGCGTGTGTGTGCTTGTACGCGTGTCTGTTTGTGCATGTGTGGTGTGTGTGTGTGTGTGTGTGTGTGTGTGTGTGTGTGTGTGTGTGTACGTGTGTGTGTGTGTGTGTGTACGCGTGCGTCTGCCTGCCTGCCTGTCTGTCTGTCTCTCTCTGTCTGTCTCTCTGTCTGTCTGTCTCTCTGTTTGCGCGATGAAACGTTGCAATTCCACGGGTACACGACATGTTCGCCCAGAACCACAAGTGGCAGCGCACCTTTGCCTCAATGAGATGCGGATAACGGGTCCAGATGTCCTGACCAACAAGATGGCGCAGCTCAGACGCAACAGGCTGTGCACACGCATGCGCGCGTACGTACACGAATATGAGAACCCCAAAACAAACACATGCACTAGCAGCCAAACAGCTGTCGCAAGGAGCAATATGCTTGAAGCACTTCGCCTGCACTGCGCTTGCGTGTGTGCGTGTGTGCGTGTGTGCGTGTGTGCGTGTGTGCGTGTGTTGTCTGACCGGCAGTTGCGAGTGCGGAATGACAAGGATGCTGTCCGATTTCGACTCAAAGTTGAACACCTGAACCACACACGAGACGCACATACACACGTGAGTTACAGGCACGAAAGCCTCCTCGCCCACTCAATCACTCACATTAATCACTCACTCAATCACTCACATTAATCACTCACATTAATCACTCACTCACTCACTCACTCACTCACTCACTCACTCACAATCTCACTCACAATCTCACTCACAATCTCACTCACAATCTCACTCACAATCTCACTCACAATCTCACTCCCACCCCCCACCCACCACCGACCTTGACGCGAGCCTTGCAGGTGATGAACTGGTGCGGGAGGTGGACAAACGTGGGAAACCCCGGGTAGTAGCGCTCGTGGTCGAAGCGCGGGTGCAGCCCTACATGTGGCGAGCCCTCTGGGGTGTGCGGGAAGGGCATCTCAGTAAAGTCGGCGTGGGCCGTGACGGCGGCAAAGTGGTGCGGGTGGGGCGATGCCACGCGCAGGCGGGCGGAGGCACTGTGCACGAAGCACTTGGCCAGGGAGTGCTTGTTGCGGTTCTTCTCAGCATCTGTGAGGAGATGCGACAGGGAGTGCACCGCAGACAGCAGCCGGTCCTGGCAGCGGTTGAAAGAACGATGGTAGAGTGGCGGTGGTGGCGGTGGCGGTGGTGGTGATGGCGGTGATGGCGGTGGACATGGCGATGATCAGGGTCGCGTAAGACGACATCAACAGGGGAGCGCACAGCCTTGAAGTGAGATTGTGCATACAACTTCCCACATGCACACGCACACGCATACGCATACGCACACACGCACACACGCACACACGCACACACGCACACACACACACACACACACGCACACACACACACGCACACACGCACGCACACACACACGCACACACACACACACACACACAAACGACCACGAGACCAAACACCTTCCACCCTCCATTCTTCTTGCAATCAGAAGCATTGAACACCTGGTCGATAAAGGGGATGAGAACGACGGCCTCCCAGGCATTGCGCTTGCCATTGAGATCTGTCTTGAACGTCTGCGGATAGAAGTCGATGATCGGGGATTGAGAGTCGAGCATGAGCGGCTGGTATGCCGGCGGCACGTGGTCCCGCGATGCAGGCGGCAGCACAGACATCAGCTGCAGTGGCGAGAAGGGCATGGAGGGGCAAGCGGGGGTTGGTGGTGAGGTGAACGCGATAGGAAGATGAGGTGATGGTGATGGTGATGGTGAGGAGGAGATGGGTGATGAGAGGCAGGAAGGATGAAACGACGTACACGTGCCATCGTCGTGCACGCAGCCGCCGCCACCACACCACAAAACACCACACCTGCTCGAATGGGGAGAAGGGTTCTCCGAGCTCAAACTCTGGCTTGAAGTCCTCAATCGCGCGAATGTCCGACACAAACGGCGCATAGTGCGATGGGAAGAACCTGACACACACCAGTGGCGACGGTGGTGGCCGCGGTGGTGTGAGCAAGACGACAGGGGAGGAAAAAATGAAACGAAAGACATCGGGCAGATGCGTGTGCGTGTGTGTGTGTGTGTGTGTGTGTGTGTGTGTGTGTGTGTGTGTGTGTGTGTGTGTGTGTGTGTGTGTGTGTGTGTGTGTGTGTGTGTGTGTGTGTGTGTGTGCGGGCAGATGTGCGGCAACAACGGCTGATTCGCGCATGACTGGTGCTGTTGTGTTTCTTTAGTTGTGGCTGTGGCGATTGCACTGCGGTGATGCGCCAACATACCACGACCAGGAAGGAACGCCCTTGTAGTAGTAGAACAGGATCCACTGCAGGCCCCGCACGTACTCCTGTGAAGAAGACAGCACGTGAGCACGTGGTCAAGAACCCACCCCCCACACATGTGCACACACACACACACGCACACACACACACACTCGTACGAGCGTAATGCCGGCTGTTGCGCTCATCATCATCACCACCACCACCATCATCAGCAGTATGTGGGGACCTGGGCCTGGCTGAGGCGGAATTCGTCGTCGTACCGCTGGACACCAAGCTTTTCCAGGTAGTAGTTGGCCTGCAGTTGCCATGCATCATCACATCGACACAAGCACACAAGCACACATCCACACAAGCGCACAAGCACACACATAGACGTATGCACACATGCACGCGCACGCAGTGCCAGTGCGTCAGAACAGTATGGACGTCTTGTCACCAACAGCATCAGATCAGATCAGACAACAAAGGCAGACGTGAACGAAATACTCACGCGCGCACAGCAATCACAACCACAAATACACTTCTGCACACAGCCATGTACACAAACGCAACACAATACGCGATTATGCTACGTCACCTTGTACATGAGGTATTCTGCCTCGTACATCTCCTCCGCTTCCTCTTCGCGCGTCTTGGCCCTGTCCTCCTCATCACTGCTGCTGCCATCATCAGTGTCATCATCATCATCATCATCGTCGTCGTCGTCGTCGTCGTCACTCAGCACCACGCCGCCAAAGAGACCCGCAAGCGCCGCGTCATTGCTCTTCTCCTTCGCATCCTTCTTCTTGGCGCTGCTACCGCTTGTGCTGTCGCCATCGCCACCGTCGGCTTTTGGAGGAACAACCTCTGGCGCCTGGTGGCGGCCGCGTCCTGTTTTGGAGCGCAGCCACTTCAGATCAACATATGTCTCGTCAAACGCGTTTCGGTCGATGATGGACAGCTCCTCCAGCAGCACCTGCAGCCGCGCCATGTTGATCGTGCCGCCTACACGCCGTGTATGTGTGTGTGTGTGTGTGTGTGTGTTGTGTGTGTGTGTGTCGTTGGTGAGATACAACCTGCCCTATTACCACCACCACTACCGCCGCCACCACCACCACCACCATCATATCATATCACTACCGCTGTCCCCTTACCATCTGTGATCCACCCGTCGAGCTTCTGCAGCGCGAGCTTGTACGACGAGTACAGGGTGGGCACAATGTCCTGCACAGCGCAAAGCAAAGGGTTCACAGCAGCAGCGGCGGCGGCGCAGTGGTGTCGGTAAGGGCGTGTGCCGGTGATGGGGCGATGAGGTCATCGGTCGCGCAGCGATGTGTAAGGGGGCAAGGATACAGATGTAACAATCAGAATAGACATGCACACACACACACACGCACGCACACACACAGGGATTGTGAGCAAGCACAATACACGCTCACATGCACGAATACATCACCCACAACATACACACATGTACGCTCACATGCACGAATACATCACCCGCGACATACGCACATGTACAAACAGGCTGACCTGTGAGATGTGGAAGTGCGGGAGGTGCGGGATAAAGTCGTTGCCGATGAGGAACCCGAGCAGCACCCAGTCGTCAAGCAGTCGCTCAAAGTCAAACGGGAACGACAGCAGCGGCTGCAGTCGTCGTGGTGGTGGTGGTGATGGGAGTGGTGGTGGCGGTGGTGACGGGAGATATGGTAATAGTCGGGGGTGGTGATGTGAGTGGTGGTGAGCAGTGATGTGTGGTGGTGGTGAGGATCTCAGTCAATGTGCGGGTACAAGGTGACCATGTGGCACAAAACCATTAACACACAAACACACACATACACGTGCACACGCATGCGCGCACAGCAGCACGGTACAGGACGGCGCACCTTGACGTCGAAGAATTCCATGCGAAGATATTCGCGATAGAGGGAGAGGGAGAGGAGATGGAAGACGTTGTCTTGGGAATCCTTCTGCTCAACACAAGGCAAAGGAGACACATGAGGTGAGTGCAAGTGCAATGAATGCACGTGAAAAGTCGAACAAGCATGCACACTCACATACACAACACACTCAAACACACACGCTCAAACACACACACTCTCAAACACACTCTCAAACACACACACACACACACACTCGAATAAACAAACACACATCCCTTCACAAGCCACCAGGGGAGGGACAAGGTCGCTGTACCTTTGACTTTTGGCGGCGGCCAAAGCGGACCTCCTCGCGAAGAAGACTGAAGTGCGGCTCGTGCGACACCAGGCCCAGGATGATCTGCCATGAAGAAGCGAAGGGAACATGCGGCAGTGGGGATTGTACGGTTGCAGGGTTGCAGGGTTAGGTGAACGTGATCAATACCACACGTTCACACGTACACACACACGTACACACGCGCGCGCGCGCGTTCACGCACACCACAACACGCACACAAAACAACACAGATGATTGTGCGGACCAGGTCAGCGTCGAGGCCGTAGAGGCAGTGGCGGGTGTTGGCGTCGTAGTCGTCGCGCAGCTTCTCCGAGCGGATGAAGTCCATGATCTTGTGCTCGCCCTCGCCAGGCACCTGGTGCCCAGACAGCACCACCCGCAGACCCTGCAGCCGCCACACGTGTGTGTGTGTGTGTGTGTGTGTGTGTGTGTGTGTGTGTGTGTGTGTGTGTGTGTGTGTGTGTGTGTGTGTGTGTGTGTGTGTGTGTGTGTGTGTGTGTGTGTGTGTGTGTGTGTGGTGATAAGTAAATGTGCAACCTCGCCTCGCCACTTCACCACGACTTGAGTCGAACCGCCAACTTTGCACACAACACCACCGCACAACAACACAAAACCACCCGCACATACAACCGTTCCCTCCCCTCCCTCCGCCCCCCCCCCGCTTCGTATGCGCACCTGCCAGGCTGGGTCTGATGTGATCTTTGCCTGGACAAAGTACTCGAGGTGCTGGTGGAGGCGGTGCATGAAGGGCGTGCCGGGCGTGATGCAGTTCGAGTCAAACGGCGGCGGCGCATCGGGGTCGTCCAGCAGCTTTCCCTGATCGCGGTTGGTAGCGGTTGATGGTGGGGTGGTGGTGGTTGGTGATGGTGTGGTGGTGTGCCAAAGGTGCGTGAGCACATCATGAGGACGTGTGGCATTGACAGCACAACAGGGTGGTGGTTCCACGAGTGTTGTCAACAAGATGATGCACTATCATCCACGGGCGCACCTCGCGTTCTGCTTTCTGCCGCGCTTCCTCCGCCTCCTTGGCAGATCGAAACCTGTACACGTGGACAAGGCCGCACCCACACCAACACGCACCCACCACCATCAGCGATGCCAAGCAGCCATTATGGACGCACACGAACACGCAACTAAACAAGTAACCATCTTACACTTTCGCACAAACACACACTGCTTCACACTCTGTCGAACACACACTGAGACACAACCTTGCGCACACATACGCAGACACTTTCAAACACACTCTGTCGCACACACACTGAGACACAACCTTGCGCACACATACGCAGACACTTTCAAACACACGCTGCTTCACACACACACACACACACACACACACACACTTTCACGAGCACACAACGCGGACCTGCGGGCGCGCTGCTGGTTCATCTTTGCGCGGGGTGCACAGCCGTCAATGGCCATGTAGAAGACGCGCTGGGGGCGGATGATGCGAAAGAGCGTCTCAATGTACGCGCAGATGTCCTGAACATGAGCACGGCACAAAGATGCACAAGACGAAGATGGTAGGTGAGAAATGATTTGCGGACGGAATTCAACCACAGTGAAATAATGATCGGGTGAATTCAACAACACACGACTCGTACACAAACAACGATTGACAAGCCAGCATAGCACAGAACTCGCACGCTCACACTGCCGTACCTCGAACATCTTCTCCTCCGTGAGCCTGAAGTTGACATCGTCGCTTGGGTGGGAGCATGTGTGGATGATGCCGTTCATGTCCAGGTACAGGTTGTCAAAGTCTGGCACCTCGCTCTCGCGGACCACCTGGCTCAGGCATGGGTACCGCTCGCTGATCCAGCGGTAGTACTTTGGGATTCCCATGATGGGTGCAAGCGAAAGATCACGCACTCAAGCACCAAGGAATCGAGAATATACGAAGGAAGGCGATGACGCTTGTCACAGAGGTCAGGGAAGGGTTCAACACTGGCTTGTTGCTTGACAGCTTCCTCCTCAAAGCAGGCTGCAAACGTGGAGTGCGCGAGATTGAGGAACGGTTGAGATCGTCGTGCGCCACGCCAATACATATGCCAACACAAGGACAGCGAGGGAAACGTAAATGATGAGCAGACAGATCGATCGCCAGTGTTATGATTATGATGATGTGATGCAGAGAGTCCATCAAACTCATATCAACCACAAACAGAAGCAACAAGTAACCAACCACACACACACAAACAAACAAACAAACAACCAACCAACACAACGCCGTTCTCGCACTGACAAGGGCAGCCACAAACGACAGAAGGACAGACGAATGGATGATGAGTTATGTGCCAGTCGAAGGTTATGTTACACGCCAACTATCGACAACAACATGCACTATCGACCTTTCACTGTCTGTCGATCCGGGTTGCTGTTTGGAGAATTGTACGGAGATTTCCGCCGATTTTCGGCGATCCGCAACAGCGCATCAACGGGTGGGGAGCAAGAAGGATGACTCGTGGGGGTGGTGTGGTGTGCTGGTGTTGTGACCATGATCATGTCTGTCTGTCTGTCTGTCTGTCTGTCTGTCTGTCTGTCTGTCTGTCTGTCTGTCTGTCTGTCTGTCTGTCTGTCTGTCTGTCTGTCTGTCTGTCTGTCTGTCTGTCTTTGTGTATGTGTGTGTGTGTATGTGTGTATATGTGTGTCTGTGCGTGTACATGAATATGAATGGATGCATTGACAAATTATCGCACACGCATGGCGGTGTGCGGGTGTTTGCTGCGTGTTTGTTGGCTGAAGTGTCCTCTGTTCCCTCTCCCTCCCTCTCCCTCTTCGTCCTTCTCCCTTTGCTCGCATGAGTGGTCGCCCTGAAACAATGCTTGTTTGTGCTGGTGGATCATGTGATGTGACATACTGGTCTTGAGGGTTGAGGTGATAAACACACTCTCTATTCGTGTGGCGATGACACCGGCTTTGTTCACTCTTCGCTGTGCTGTGTGCTGTGCGTTGTGCTGTGTTTGCGTGTGCGTTGTATGTCCACTGTGTCTGCGTACATGTGCAAGTGTGGCTGTCACCGTCCGGTTCGCTGTAGCCACTGCCTCTCTCTGAGACGATATGGCCTTGTCGATTGTCCTTCTTCATTCATTTTTTTTCGACACCGATTCACGTTCGTCCCCAACCAGCCGCTTTGAACTGGCCTTGCACTCACTCACTCATTCGTGCCTGCCTGTCGACCATGCTTGGCGTCGCCGTGCCTGACATGAACAGCGAACCAGATATGAGCGAACCATGGGAGAAGATCCACTCGAACATAGAGCAGCAAGTGCCGAATGACGTGTACTCGTTTCGTGCCGTGCACTTGGCCCAAATGCTCATCGAGGGCCCACCAAACTCCGACTCGCAAGTGCGTGTGTCTGTCTGTCTGTCTGTCTGCCTGTGTATGTGTGTCTGTGTGTCTGTGTATGTGTGTGTCTGTGTGTCTGTGTCTGTGTCTGTGTGTGATCGACACCGCCTTGTGTCGATTCAGGAGCCCTGCTGCTGCTGCTTCTGCAGTCTGTGCATCCCCAAGCAACTCACACGTTGATGCGGTGTACACTGCTGCTCCTCCTCCTGTTGGCTGCACACCATACCCTGCAGTTTGTTGTGACATTGCACCCACCCAGGCCCCAGAACACCACACAATCCGAAGTCCTCGACTACGCCACATTTCAGAAGGTGTGTGTGTGTGTGTGTGTGTGTGTGCGTCCGCCGTTGTTTGTGGCTCCTCTTACGCGTGCTCTGTTCACTTGCGGATGCTTGTTCACCTCGTCTTGCACGAGTCACTTTGAGCACAGCAGCTGTCTTCGCTCCTCCTCCTCACACACACACACACACACACACACACATGCACACACACACACACACACACACACACACACACACACACACACACACACACACACACATTGCACACGTCTTGTGTGCGCGCGAACGGGTGTGCTGAGCAGAAGTTTGCGCAGCTAACGGCGCGGCAGTGCTCGGATGCGCTCAAGGTTGAGGCGGCCACGATCCTGCAACGGTCTGCCAACGAGATACAATGCGTCGGCTGCCGGCGCAGCTTTACCACCTTCCTCACCGCCCTCCAGACACACTTTCCGCGCGCCCTCTGGGTTGGTGGCAACACTAGTGGTGGTGGTGGTGGTGGTGGTGGTGGTGGTGGTGGTGGTGGTGGTGGCGTGTTTGTGTGTCTCTGTGTGTCTGTGTCTGTGTCTGTCTGTGTTTCTGTCTCTCTGTCTTTCTGTCCCTCTGCCCCTCTGTCTGCCCAATCGTCAGGCTGTCCGTCCGGCTGTTAACTAGCACGCTCACAACACATATTCCCACATACCCTTCAGCCGCTTGATGTTGGGAAGCGATGGATTCGCGTGCACCCGCAGCACCACTCCGCCAGGGAATGTTACCAGCTCCTGCAGTGGGCAAGGTGCGCTCGTGGTGTCGTGGTCGGAGTGGTCGTGATCATGGTGCCCTTGCTGACAACACCACCTACCTAAACCTCCTTCCCTCCACATCCCTCCTCACATGATCACACACATGCATACACACACACACACACACACAGGACGGAGCGGTGGGGGGCTGAGCAGCGTGGGCGGCGGCGCAACATGCGATGTCGACTGCACGCCATGGACACGCGCAAGAACCAGCAGAGCGCGACCACGTGGATGGAGGCGTGGGAAATGGTGTCCATGCAGTGCCGCCGAGACATTGTGACGGTGGACTCTGACACGTTTCTCACCGCCCTGGAGCACTACCTCGACAAGCACGAGTTTTGCGACGAGTGCAGAGACAAGGTCGCCGCCACCCACCCGCATGGGGATGGGAGAGTGGATGGATATGGCGCAGTGTGGTTGCATTTGCTTCCTTGCTTCCTTGCTTCCTTGCTTCCTTCCTTGCTTGCTTCCTTCCTTGCTTGCTTCGGTTGCTTCCTTGCGCGTGACTGCTTGCCATGAGATTGCTCGCAATCACGACACTCATTGAACATTACTGTCCCCCCTCCCCAAATTGAATTTGCTTGCATGCGATGCGCTGCAGATGTTTCATACGTCCGACATTCTGTTTGGAAAAACGACTGCAAACGCAGACGGCACGTGCGTACACTCTTACCTTTGTTTGCAGCCGTTTGTTTCATCGGTGCCTGTGTCTGTGAGTGAGTCATTTGTTTGGGTGTCTGGATTTTGTGTATACTTGCCAGTATTTTGGCTGCACTGACGCCACCGCCTTCGCCCCTCCCCCTCCTCCACACGTCTCCCTTGCTTTGGAGCATAGGTACCAGCCCGAGATCTTCAACGGAGTGACGTACTGCGCCACGTACTGCCATCTCCACGTCGACACGACCACACACTGCATCGCACATCTCATCAGTGCGTACGCATGCATATCGCGGCGACCGCTCCGTTTGTGCTGCTGATGATGGCACATACACACACACAAACAAATACACACAAGCACCCACCCGCTCACTCTTGTGTGTATGTGTGTGTGTGTGTGTTTGTGTGTGTGTGTGCAGCGAACTCGCATTCACTTTCACTCTCACTCACATACACACACGCACTCACACACTCACACATGCACTCGCACACACACACACACACACTCACACTCTCCCTCACTCCCTCACTCACTCACTCACACACACTCACTCACACACACTCACTCACACACACACACACTCCCTCACTCACTCACACTCACACTCACACTCACGCACGCACTCACGCACGCACGCATACACACACGCGCACTCCCTGGCGTGCACCAGGCCGGGCGATGGCGGATCTTGTGAACGGCGAGCGGCACGCGACAACGACGGAGCAGGCCCAACGCGAACTGCTCATCTGCCTGGGATACGTTCTCCACGAACGCCTGCAGCACCTCTGGACCGTACGTCTACATGTGCCTCTTGGCTGGCGCTGCTGCTGCTGCTTGCTGCTTGCTGCTTGCTTTGTGTTTTTCTGTGGAGAAGTTGCTTGGGCCATGCAGCGCTTTGAAGGTTGGTGCCAGACTGAACGTGAAGACAACCACGCCCGCACCCGTTTGCGCTCACTCACTCACGTGCTCACGTGCTTGCACATGTACGCGTGACTGCCCCTTGGTGTGGCGTGTGAACAGCGGATCAAGGCGGCTGAGCAGTCTGCGCTGCAGCTGCAGCAGCTGGTGGCGCGGGAGATGTGGCGGGCCGTGGAGACGGGCGGAAACACGAGGACGCAGCTCTCCGTCTCGGAGCTCATGGAGGAGTTTGACAGCATGGACGCCGCAAAGAAGGCGAAGAACAAGGCAAAGACGAAAGGCAAGGGGAAGAGCAAAGGGAACAAGCAGCAGCAACAGCAGCAGCGCCAAAGCAGTGCGCCAGAAGCTGGCAGTGGCAATGGTGCAAAGGTAAACAACAACAACAACAGCAGCAGCAGCAGCAGCAATAGCATTAGCAATCGCAGCAAAACGGCTGGTGATGCTGCTGAAGCCGGCGGTGGTGAGCACAAGTGCAAACGGCAAACTGGTGCAACCACACCCGCGATCGAAGGTGGCAACAGCAACGCACCCCGAAACAAGCAACAACAACAACAACAACAACAACAACAACAACAACAACAACAACAACAAGAGAAGCAGAAGCAGAAGCAGAAGCAGAAGCAACACGAGTGTGACCATGCGCGTGCACGGATACGGGATGGTGGCGGCAGCGACGGTGCAAGCGTGTGCATTGACACCGTGCTTTCGACGCCGTCGCTGCAAGAGCTTGCTGCTGACCTGTACGACCATGGTGATGCTGATGACGAGGGCAGCGATGAGACGGACAGCGGCAACCCCGACGGCGACGAAAGCGGTGTTGGGCATGCGAGCAGCAGCAGCCGAAGTAGCAGCAGCAGGCAGAGCGGCAACTGCAGCGGCCGGGGAAGCAACGCCAATGGTAAACAAGGCAGACACACGCCTGCAAAGCTGGCAGCGGGCCCACCACCCGATGGTGGCGGTGAGGAGCTCGTGTTCCCCGTGCCGAAGACGCTGCATGTTCGGTATCACGACCCCGCAGAGGCGAGCGAGTGGTGGAAGCGCTATGATGAGCCGTTCGAGGGCAGCAGCCCGGAGTTTGACGACGACGACCACGACGATGACGATGAAGGTGACGACGATGATGATGATGATGATGATGATGATGATGATGATGATGATGATGATGATGATGATGATGCTGATCGTGATGATGATGGCGATGGTGAGGCCAGGGAGAGCGATGGCTTTGTTGAGGTGGGGAAGGGAGGGAAGCATGGTGCAGGACAGACCCGCGGTGCACGACAGAAGGCACCGTCACCGCATCTCCTGGAGAAAGGCAACAAGCCAGACAGCAGGAGCAGCATGGCGAAGGAGAAGACAACGAAGGACAACAAGCAACAGCAGCAGCAGGAGGATAAGAAGAATAACAAGCAAGGCAAGAGGAAGGTTGAAGAGCGGCATTTGGCTGCAGCACACGACATGCTGTGTGAACTCGGTTGGGACAACGACCTCGAGGCCACAACTGTACGTGGGGCGTGTGTGTCTGTGTGTGCGTGTGTATGTGTGTGTCTGTGTGTGTGTGTGTGTGTGTGTGTGTGTGTGTGTCTGTGTCTGTGTGTGTGTCTGTGTGTCTGTGTGTGTGTGTGTGTGTGTGTGTGTCTGTGTGTCTAGCTGTGTGTGTGTGTGTCTGTGTGTCTACCTGTCTGTGTGTCTGTGTGTCACTGCCAACGCCTCTAGTGTTTGTCGCTTCTCCCTGTCTTCAGTCCCTGTCCCTTCGTCCCTGTCTCTACTAACATGTGCTACTTTACTTTTCCTTCCACTCCTCCACGCACCCCCACCACCACCACCACCACCACCACCACCACGCTCACTCTGCAACCGTTGCTGCAGGATGAGATTGAGGCGAGCCGGGTCAAGGCGAGAGCGCAGTTTGAGCGGTTCCTGGCCAGGGGACTTGTATCATATTGGGGTGATGATGATGGTGATGATGTTGATGGAGATGGTGCTGATAGAGACGCGAACGCAAAAGCGAATGCGAACACGAACGACGACGTGGAGAACAACAACAGCAGCCACAAAGACCACAGCACCAACACCAACAGCGGCGGCAGTAGCAGCAGCAGCAGCAGCAAGAAGAAGAAGAAGAAAAAGAAGCGGAAGTAATTGGCATATCACGGTTGTTCAGTTGCCATCCACTGCGACCTGCATCAACATCACCTCCCCTGCACTGTCACCATTCTTTCGTGTAACTATGCAAGCACAACTAGTGGATGTACTTTGCTTACTTTTTGTTTTGTTTTTTTCAGTCAAGGAAGGCAAGCCAAACAGTTCCTCGCTTCTTTGGACAGTTACCACCTGTGTCTGTGTGTGTGTGTGTGTGTGTGTGTGTGTGTGTGTGTGTGTGTGTGTGTGTGTGTGTGTGTGTGTGTGTGAAGAAGAGGCCAGCGTGTTGTTTGTTTTCTTCCCCCACTCCCTTCCGCCTCTCGCTCTCAATAAACCAAGCCCCTGAATTGAAACATTGTCTCAATCACTATCTCCCTTCTGCGATGATGCATTGACAAGATTGCTACGCCGTGTTTATGCCAGATGACGGAAAAGGACGACAGAACGGGCAACAAACACACAGGTACGCCTACAGCGACAGCAACCGACAATGCAAAGTGCAGCAGAGCGGGTTGGTTGTGCAACTGAGGACAAACTGGAAAAGTGGGAGCAAAGCGGCGCAGCACTACATTTGTGTCAATTGGGGTTTTGGCGTTTGGAAAAGAGGGTGGGGGATGGAGTTGCTCTTGCTCGTCACCAAGGAAGAGACAAAGAGACTTGCTGATTGATAAAAGAGGAAACACAAGAAGAGGAGGGGGAAAAGAAGAAACACACAAGGCAGTGGAAGTGAGTCAGAGGACGATGAAGCCTCCTTCACCTCTTCACAGACCTCATGCAACAGCACACGACGCAATCACGCAACAAAAATCCATGGTCGGCAACAGCTTAGTAGCCGCTGGAGTTGTTGGACACAGCCTGTATGAAGTAACACCGCAACAATAACAACACATGAGACAGTGGGTGAGTCGGTGAGTCGGTGGGTGGGGAGGAAAGAGCAAGCAGGCGAGTGTTTCATCAACGTTCGCGTGCACAAGCACCAACGTGCGTGGCTGTTGGGCTGATGATACGCATGGCGCAGAACAACGCAACCCAAACAACTCGAGCAATCAAGCAAGGCGGGCGCTCACCACAACAACCACAACACAATCATCACACACAAACACACACAATCATCACACGCCACGAAAAACCACAAACGTACGCGGGTCTTGTCGACAGAGTTGATGGTGCGTGGGGGCTTGGGTGCCTGGAGGGCGGCGGAGACAGCGGAGGAGGAGGCGTCAATGTTGGGGCGGCCCTCAGCCTTGGCAAACTCGCGCTTGTTGAAGGTGGGATCCGGGACGCTGGTGGCGTGGGCAATCGACTGTGAGGAGCTGTCAATCGTGGGGGCGGCGTCGCCACCCTTGTTGATGGAGAGAGATGCCTTCTGGGAGGTCTGGCCAGTCTGGGCTGTCAATTGGGAGAGGAGGGAAAGACAAAACAGACGGACAGGCAATAGAGCGATGTTCATTCAACACGAGGTACAGCAGAAGAAGAAAAAAACAAGACAGAGCATTGATTAGCTTGATTGATTGAATGAAGGGCTGAGGGGGGGGGGGAGTAACAATGCATGTGTGCGGGTGCGGGTGGGTGTGAGTGTGCGGGTGCTGTAAAACGGTTTGGGTGGCTGGTGGGTGGGGAAGGGGGGTGTGGCGCGGCTCAGTCGAAACACAAGTTGTGATGTGATGATGGCTTGTTGTTTGTGTTGTGTGGGGTTCGCTGATGTTGGTTGTCTGTCGAGCCATCACCGCCAGCCAATCCATCACCAAGCAGCTGCTCATGGAAAAAAACGGCGCGTCCGTGTCATCAACCAAACTGTTCACACACACACACACGCACACACACACACGACCGCGGCACCACAGCCACAAACAAGCTGTCCATGCTGTCGCTGCTGCCACATGGCTTCGCACTCCCTTTGCGTGCTGTGCACGCTTCGCTTCTCTTCACTTCCACATCTGTTGGCTGATGTTGTTGTCTCTCTCCGTTTGCATGCCATCGTCCTCCGCGCCACCCACCATCTTCGCGATATGTAGCCGCATGCAAAAAGCACGACAATCGCGCCAACCATCGCGCACACCTGCTTCACTTGCACCTTGCGACAGCCGCTCAAACACAAAGCAAAGAAAGGCAATGAAGCCACCACTTACACATGGCGTGCTTGACACCGACGGAATCGGCGGGGATGGTGCCACCGGGGCGCACCTGCCACTTGTACTCCTTCTTCTCAGACATGGTTAAGGTCGGTTGGTGAGGGGGGAGGGTCAGGGGGTGGAGACGGACTGAATGAAGCGCTTGGTGTGAGAGCAAGGGAGAAAACACAGAAATGCCGACCGCGACAAGAGACGGGGTGCCAGCTTGTTGTTTGCCTCTTGCTTTGTTGTGGTTGTTGTTTTGTTGCTGTTGTTGTTGTTTTGTGTGGCGTGTGCTCAGCAGCGCCAATCTGTTGTTTTGGATGAGGACAAATAGACGGTATCTTTTGCAGATTCTCTAGCCACACCCACATCCCCGGAATGGATGCTGGAAACACCACGTCAAATTATTCAATCTGGGACAATTCTATAATAACAACGCAAATAATCGCAGGTCAGGTAATTCAGACTATGTGGTGTCGTGGCCGGCCACGACACAACGACACATAGAAATAGCGAAAAAGAAAGGAAGGCAAAGCAACGCAAGAAGCACGAGAGCAGAGAGCAACGCCACAGCAGCACGCATGCGTCCAACTTCACTCGTCGCTGATCCACGTGGCCATGTCATCGACAAGGTCGTCGTAGCAGTGGGAGAAGAGTTGGCGATCTGTGAGAAACTTGAGGGACGTTTCTTCGTTGAGTTCATCCTTGGACAACGGCTGCCCATCAGCGCCAAACCCACCAAACACATACCCTGGCCACGCAACACGAGGGGGAAGAGGTTGCAGTCACAACAGCAACAGCGTTCATGGCATCATCAGCACGTGCAAGGATGTGTAGGTTTGCAGCAACAGATGCAAGCGCATGGGGGGATGACGTGTGATGTTGGGTGTGGTGTTGGGTGTGGTGTTGGGTGTGTGGCGTGGCAGGACGGAAGCACACAGCGAAACTCAACATGGCAAAACTGCTCATGATCGTCGTCGAGTTGTGGTTGTGCAAGCACGTGCAACCATGCATGGTCAAAACGACAAAAGTCAACAGTCATGCACGGGTGGATTTGACGGTGAAGAATAGCGAAAGAATGGTTGAAGAACAGGTGAAGAATGGCTGCAGGATGGCTACAGGATGGTTGCTATGGAACATACCAGCATCCCACAGAGGGTTCGAATGGTCGATGAGGCGGATGGAGCAGTTTGGCGGGTTGCGAGACGCTTGGAACCACTAAAGATGTGGTTGGTGTGTGTGTGTGTGTGTGTGTGTGTGTGTGTGTGTGTGTGTGTGTGCGTGTGCGAATGTGTGTGTGCGTGTTAGCGGATGGCCCAGGAACTGAGGGGGATTGAGGGATAAAACAAGCGAGAGAAAGACGGCAGCAACGCAGCAACGCAGTGCGAAAGAACAAAGGAGGGTCTGCATGACAGTATTGTCACAGAGACCAACTGTCACACAGCGAAACCACACACAACGCACACATCATACGCCTACACAAGCACATGCACACATGCACACATGCACACCACAACACACACACAATACAACACACACCTCTGGGCGGCGCTGGCACCACATCATGAGAAAGGCGCGAATGGTGATGCCGTGGGAGATGATGACGACGGTTGGAATGGACGAATCACGCCGACGGCCTGTCAATAGAGGAGAGGGTGGGAGAAGATGGGAGGTGGAGAGGGTGGGAGGACACAGTCAAATCGTACAGTGCACGTCGTACTGCGCACGTCCTACAGCACCAGGGGTCATGCTCAACCCGAGGACGCCGCGTTTGTCGCATTTTGCAACAAATTTTCGGGCAGGTGTACAAGAGAGCAAGCGAGCAGACGTTTGCACGCGACGAGACACACACACACACACGCACGCACACATACACACGCATACATACATACATACATACATACATACATACATACATACATACATACATACATACACACATACATAAACACACACATACATACACACACATACACACGCACACAATCCAACATGCAATACAACACACAATACAACACGCAATACACCACGCAATACAACACACAATACACGCTTACCCTGGGCTGAGCGGTCGCGGTGCAGGGCTGGGAAGAGGGCCTGTACGCGCATACAGACGTCAAAGCAGCTCTCGCCCATGGGGAAGCGTGCCCAGAATCGGCCCTGATGGTTGGCTATCGACTGCACGCGCTGCCACTCGTCGGGGTGCGAATCAGGCGCTTTCTGCAGACAAGACGGAGACGTGGTTGCAGCAGCAGCAGCAGGCGTGGTTTGAGACATGGATTGCGTGGGTATGATGCAAAGAAAGAGGCAACATGCCAACGGCATAAAAAGCAAGGGGTGGTGGGCGTAGTTGGCAGAGGAGTGGGACAGCACACACACACACACACACACACACACACACACACACACACACACACACACACACACACACACACACACACACACACACACACACACACACACACACACACACACACACACACACGACGCGGCCGTATGCACGCGCGCATTGGAGAATCAGACTCACATCCAGCCCTGTGCCTTCAAACAGCCCCCAGTCCTGTTCTGCACAATACAATCAGACAAAACAAAATGGGGAAACGCAAAAGAATGAGTTTCAGGGTAAGGGAGGGTGGTTTGGCACGACATACACACACGAATGCAGAAAGAAAGAGGGGAGGGAGAGCGCGCGAGATAATGTGCACAGAGGCGCAATGCACGCACACGTAAACACGTGCATTAACGCGCAAACACACACGCATTGATACATACACGCATTGATACACACACGCGCACACACGCGCACATGCACACACATTCACACTCACCAACGAGCATGGGCGATTCCCGCACGCTGGTGATCCAGCCGCCGCATTCCTGACAGCACAGTGCGTGGCCGCTCGTTGGGTGAGTGCAATTGGCAGTGGCAACAAAACCACGTCGCTGATGACAATAAGGGTGGTGCCTTTGGTGACGCGACGCAAAGACAGTCCCGACAGCTGCAACAACCTTACTGCTCCACAACACATTCCCCTTTGTCTCAGGACGCACGCACACACGACACACATGGCCAAACACACACACACAACACACACAACACACACAACACACTCACAAGACACACATACAACACACACACTCACAAGACACAAGACACACACACTCACACAAGACACACACACTCACAACACACACACCTTGAGGATTTCCTTTGCTGTTTGGCGGGTGCGCAGGAAGGGGCTGACCCAGACCTTGATGCGCCCGGCCTGCTCGGGCGTGCCGAAGATGGACTCAAACTGCTGCCGCAGCGCGCGCCCCGCGTCCTGCGCCATCTCCCGCCCGCGCTCCGTGATCGGGATCATGTGGTCGGCAGTGCTCTCATACACAGACGCCTCCACGTTGGCCGCAGACTCTGCGTGGCGGATGAGGAACACGCGGTAGGTGGCGGTCGGGTCTTCCTCCAGCTCAGACTGGTGCGACCGCAGCGACATGTTGCGCTGGATGCGTTCCAGCACGCCTGCACTCGGGCCTCGCAGGCTCCAGTGCTTGCGCTTCAGCTTCCTGTTCGCCTTTGGGCTTGACTGCCGGCTGCCGTCCAGGCTGCGCGTGGCACGAGCTGTCGCACCATGGTGCCGCTTGACGCCGTTGCCATCGGCGTGGTCCTCGCAATCCGCAGCGCTGTGCGAGGGGTCCGATGTGCAGCTGCCAATGCTCGTGTCACTGCCACCACCGCTGCTTGGCGGTGCCTGCTGCTGATGCTTCTGCCCTTCTTCAATACACCCAAGCGCGAAGCAGGAGTGGGCGCGGCGCTGGCCGCGGTTGGGGACTGCCAGCATGCTAGGGCTGCTGCTGCCGTCCTGGCTCGAAGCATCAGTGTGCGCATCCCTGTGGGCGGCGCCCCGACGGGCCTCGGCACTGTCCCCTTGGCCTTCATCATCATCATCATCATCATCATCATCATCTTCACCACCATCATCATCATCATCATCATCATCATCATCATCATCATCCAGCGCCCCATTGAAGCTGTCGGTTCTCCTCAACACGCGGGGCACTTCCTGGTCCTCCTTAGTGGTACGGCCTGAGCCACTGCCACTGTTGCCGCTTGCCCTTTGTGGACCATGTGCCGTGTGGGCTGCTGCATTGTCCGTTTGTGCTGCTGTTGTCTGTCCAGTTTTGTCTGGGTGTGGTTGGCCGTTTTGGCGACCGGTGGTGGTGAGAGGCTGCTCCGTGGGTGGAGTAGACCCACGTGCTTGTTGCTTACACTTGGCACAGAGTGTGTGCTGCTCTTGCTGCTGCTCGTGGTGCTGCTGTTTGGTGGCGAGGAAGGCAGCGGTCGCAAAGCCGCAGGCCACGGCGCTCAACGCAACCGCCACCCCGCCGAGCAACACATGGCTCGTTGTCGACAAGCTCATCGTTCACGCGACGTGTGTCTCCTGTGTCGTTGCAACGTTGCAAAGTCTGTGTCTGCCACAAAGGACACACTGGCTGGTGGACTGTGGCGCGTGTGTGCTTGGTGTTGTGGCGTGGTCGTTGTGATAATGTCGCGATGATTGATGCTGGGTGATCACGTCGTTGCGTGCTGTGTGCTGCTGTGGTGTGTGTCATCATGGCTCAGGACGCCTCGCCACACCAAACGAAGAAACCGCCACCCACTGCATTTTGTCGTGACGCCTGGAACTGCGACAGGCGACGGAGAAAGATAGCGTTGCTGATCACGATGCCTGCAACGCGGAGGACAAGGAAGGCCACTGCCGCTGCCACTGTGGCCGCCGCTGCGGGTGGCCGAGGCACCATGACACAGAAGAAGGCGGCGTTGAAGGCACAACGGGGGGCGTTAAAGGCGGCACCAGCACAGGCGCAAGTGCCATCACCTTCACCATCACCATCACCATCACCAACTCGGCGGCGAAGCGCCCGCAATGCCAGCAAGGCCGCCAAAGACAGTGCTCCTGCCACAAAGCGGGCAAAAGCGTCAACAGGCACACCAACAACGCGCCGATCCACCCGTCAGCAGACAGCAAAGTCTGCACGACTTGTTACAGCTGATGATGATGATGATGATGATGATGATGATGATGATGATGATGATGATGATGACGATGCTGCGACAACAGCAACAGCAACAGAAACACGCCACCAAACACGCGCCAGTCGCAGAAACAGCAGCACCACGTCGACGCGCTGGAGCTCGAGGCTCACCGCAGCTGCATCTGCCACAAGCCCTCCAAAGGCGAAGGGAAAGCGCAGATCGCGCCTGCCAGACGATGACGACCACAGTGACATCAGTGCCAGTGATTTCGAGAACAGCAGCACCAAGAAGAACACGGGCCGCAAGCAGCGTGCTGCAGCTCGCACCAGCCAACGCAACACGACAACGTCAAGACCCGCCATCACAAAGAAGACCAAGCAGGCGCCAAAGACGACGACGACGTCGTCAGAAGGCAGCTTGATAAGCAGCGTTCGGCGCGCTCGTCACACAACAACTCGCAGCAAGAGCATTACTGTCACTACTGTGGCACCATCACCCACCGTAAGGTCCAGCACAGCCCGCAAACCCCTTCCTGATGACGATGATGATGACGATGACGACGATGATGATGGTGGTGGATCGCAAACACGAGCAGGGCTGACGCCTCCCAGCAAAGCATCGTCCCGCTCGCTCTGGCAGCGACACGCTGCTGCAGTCGACAAGCAGCACCCAGGTGCAGCCAGCGCCACGCACCACCCCAGCAAGCGCACCAAGCAAGCAACGCAGGGGAAGAAGCAGGACAAGCAGAAGAAGACCGCGACGTCCTCTGCCAGTGTCAACCGGTTCCTCAACACCGACACACTCTCAGAGGTATGTTGTGGGGCGCGTGTGTATGGCAGCTGCGTGGCTGTGGCTGTGGTTGTGCCTGTGATTGCTTGCTCTTTGCGCAGTTGCCTGCCTGCTGCTCGTGTCTGGCCTGTGTTTGCCGACTTGCCTCTGCTGGCCTGTGTGCACATGGTACAACAGCAGGCTGCTCACGACAGTGTGTCGACACACCTCGCCACCCAACAGGGCTGCTTCTACCACAAACCCGAGCTGGGCGCACAGGCGGCTGCCAGCGCTAAGCCGGGCTCAAAGGCAGCGGAGGGTAAGAAAAGCAAGTCACCTGCAGGCGCACGTGGCAGTCGACCAGAGGAATTGGAGTACGCGAGCACGGCGGCGCTTGGCGACGAGCACGTGCAGACGTGCTGGCCCATCTTGCAGGATGTCTGGGCACATGTGCAGCACAAAGTGAATGTACGACTGAGAGAGTGTGCGTGTGTGTTTGTGGGTGTGGGTGTGGGTGTTTGTCTGTCTGTCTGCCTGTCTGCCTGCCTTCCTGCCTGCCTGCCTGCCTGCCTGCCTGCCTGCCTGCCTGCCTGTCTGTCTGTCTGTCTGTCTGTCTGCCTGCCTGCCTGCCTGTCTGTCTGTCTGCCTGCCTGCCTGCATCATGTGCTTCTGTGCCTGTGCTTCTGATGTAAATGTGTACTGTTGTCTCGCTGTGCCCGTGGGTTTTTGCTTGCATACCACGTGTCTCCCCCCCCCCCAACACACACCGACCCTCCCACACCCACGTACTCCTCCCACACCTCTGGCGTGCCACCAGGCGCTGCAGCTGCAGGTGCATGAGCGGCTGTACAGTGACGTTGCCAAGTGCTGCAGAGCAACCCTCCTTCCCTCCACAGCACACGGCGCTGGGGATGCTGGCGCCTGGCTCACACCCTCCGTCCCATCCCCTTTCCAGGTGTGTGTTTGTGTGGGGGGGGGGATGTGTATGTGCGCGTGTGTGAGGGTGTGTGGGTGCGTGTATGTGTGTGCCGGCATCAGCAACGCGTTGTGTCTTGTTTCGCGCATCCCCGCCCTGCATCATTGCCTCAATTCACGCATCCATGTGTGTGTGTGCGTGTTTATGTGTGCAGGAGGTGCCGGCTGCGGCCATCTCCACGGGGATCAACATCTCCGACCACGACAGCATATTCCAGGGCCTCAAAACACACTTCACAAAGGTGCCTACGCTACCGGATCCTGCAAATTAGCCACCCGCTTCATGCTAGTGTGATCTTCTCTTCCTCTCCTCCCCCTTCCTCCGCCTCACACAACACAACACAACACAACACAACACAACGCGCTCGCACACGCACGTGCAGGAACTGTCGCCCCACTTTGCTGTGCTCAAAGCGCGCGACTGCAAAGGAATGGCGGGAATCATGAAGACGCTGGTCTGTCCTTTCGCACCACCAGTCTTTGCGTTGGCGCATCCGCTGCTAGCTCTGCTTTGCCTCCATTGACAAGTGCTGCCACCGCTGTTCCCCGTGCTCACCGCTTGACCATCATTCTCATCATTATCACTACGTTCACAACCATCCCTCCTCTCCCCACCTGCTACCACACAAACACACAAACACACACACACACCGACTATCAGGTGCGCTCGCTGCTCGATATTGGCTCGGTCCACAGCACCCTCCCGCTCAGCCGCCTGCCCACATACGACTTTCAGGTCAGACAAGCGCGTGCGGCGTGTGCATGTTGTGTTTTCTCGTGAACAATTGCGCATAACCTACCTCCCCCCCCCAACCCTTTCCTTTGCTAACACACGTTTGCTGCGCATCACACGCCGGCTTCCCCGTCACACGCCCTTCTCCTCATCATTCCCCATCTGTCCTCTCCTGCACCTCCACCACCACCACGACCGCCAGGTGCTGCGCGGGTGGTACGAGAGCCTGTATCCCTCGCGCGACATTCGCCCGCCACTTGTCATCGCCTTTCAGGACTTTGAGGCCTTTGATCCAATGGTTCGATGATACCAATGAAGAAGGGGGGGGAGGCGATGCCGAAGTGGCGTTCTGCACATGCGTGTGTGCATACGCCTGATGTGGACGTGTGAATGCCTGGAGCATGCACGCATGCATGCGTGTCGGCGTAAATTAGCGCCAGCACATGTGCATACACACACATATATACACGCACGCATGCGCACCATCACGCACACACGCACGCGCTGACACGATGGCGCCCGTGTACTTGTTTGCAGGGGCTTGCGGATTTTGTGTGCGTGTGCAGTCACTATCGACAGTCTCTGCCGATTTTTCTCGTGTTTGGGGTGGCGTCCGGCCCATCCGTGCTCGCAAGGTGCTGCACTTGTACTTGCTCGCTTGCACACGCATTGGCTGATGCTCGTGCTTCCATGCACTCTGTGCGCTCCCTCACTCGCTCGCACCATCACAAAACTTGCGGTCACTTCCCCTCTCCTCTCCAACCTCCTCTCCCACCCTCACACAATACACTTCTCCTCTCCCACCCTCACAATACACTTCTCCTCTCCCACCCTCACAATACACTTCTCCTCTCCTCTCCCAC